TCCATTTTAATTCTCCATCAAAAACCCATCTAGAGGCCAGATATTTTTAGCAGTCACGTAGCACAAATCTAAGGATGCTCAGCGGTGGTTTGTGTCTCCTGCAGAGGAGAGGTATGGCTTCCCAAGCAGAACCACCCATACACACTACAAAACCCATCAAGTTGCAGGAAGATCTCTACAATTGCGATGAATCCTAAACTCTAAAACCATTGACAAAATGCAAATCAGCCAAGGTCTTACCGTTGATTCCACTAAGAAAATAAACCACCAGAAATCTCGGCTTCTTAAAATTGGCAAGGTCTATGGCCACTTGTTGCCTGGACAGAGAACCATGTAGGAGAACGGAGGGGAAGCCGTCCCCCACGGGTGGATACCCCATGGGTGGATACGCCATGCAGCACCCTCACCAACATCAGCATCTGGGTCCAGCGGGACCGCGTGACGGACCGTCTCCAGCCCCGCCCAGAGGTCCTGCTATACCAGCACCTGAACGCATCACCTCCTTTTCACTCTCATGCTCAAGGGACCTTCCTAAATTCGGTCACACCGCATGGCCGCCTCCTACCCATGACCGGAGGCTATGTATCTTCTGATAATACCCAGGCAATTGTTTCTCTGAAAAACATCTTTGATACAAATTTTAATAAAATTGCCAAAAGGAAGCCAGCCAAAAGCCAGTATTTCCCACAGATGATAATAATCAGCAAATGCACAACTCAGATAGGCTTTCAGCAAAATAACCACTTTGAATGCTAACCTACGTTGGCTGGTTTACCATGTGACAAGGCACTGTTTCAAGATTTTACTCGATCCTCCCCAAGTGCTGTGAGATAGATGCGACTGTCCCTGTTTTACAGGCTCTAAAACCAAGGCATAGAATGATTAAGTTGCCCCAAGATCCTATAGCAAAAAAAAAATGTCAGAGCTAGGATCAAAACTCAAGTAGGTTAGCTCCATGATCTCTCACTCTTAATAATTGTGCTATGTTGGTGGGGAGGATTTGGGTGTTCACCAAATCATAAAAATTATTTTAATAGGCAGATAGCAGCGGCAAATGAAGGAAAAAAGAAAACGAAAGTGAATTTTCACTCCGGCATCCCGTGCCCTGGGATTGATTTGTACTTATTTTGCTGTTGTGAACTGATGCCTAACACAGATGACCATGGGGTGCTACCCTCCCTGGGACATATCCTCCTCCACTGTTATGATAATAGACCTAAAGTTATATTAGGGAGAAAGGCAAATAAGAGAGAATGAAATAAATGTTCTACCGCAAGGTAACCCCAGCTCTAATCCCTATAGTGAAACTTATGACAATGATCCTCAGCCAACGTGATGAAGGTACAAAACATGTGCTATGACGTATAAAGAAAGACCTTGATAGTAGTGGGATTCATCAACCCCATCAAGCGGAATTCCTTATATTCATCAATATAAGGAAACAAAAGGATGGCTCTATTTTGAAAAGACTCAAGTATTGGGTTCTCCTTGAGTGAAAGACTGGAGAGTATTCTCAGTGGAGGGTCTAACCTTGTCTCTCAAGGTAACGAGTCTTGCGGGACCCCAGTTTAGATGGGGCCAAGAATGGTTCTATACAATGGGGCAAAGCAGCAGACCTGCCCTGGGCACAAACCAGATGTTTGCTGAGTGATCTTTAGGCAAGTCAACCTGCAACAGGTTCCAGAGTATAAAAGATGGTCCAGATGACTGATCGTTCCAAAAATTACAGTCTGCCAGAGTTGGGGGGGGGGGCACTTAGTGATCCCAGGACTCAGCTCCAGGGAACTCGGGGAACCACTACCTCACCACTCACCCTAAATGGCCCCCACCTTGCATGGAGAAAACACTCCTGTTCCAGATTCCTGCTCAAAGCATATTTTTGTTCAAGATGACTAAATCTTCCAGAGGGGTCTTGAATGAGGCCTTTAATCCTGAAGAAACAGCCACATCGAATCTCAAAATTATATTTAAGAATAAATACAAGAGGGGCACCTGGGTGGCTCAATTGGTTAAGCATCTGCCCTTGGCTTGGGTCATGACCCCAGGGTCCTGGGATCGAGTTCTGCATAGGGCTCCCCTGCTCAATGGCGAGTGGCTTCTCCCGCTCCCTCTGTGATTTCTCTGGCTCTCGCTCTTTTGCAAATAAACAAATAAAATAAATAAAATCAAATCAAATCTTTAAAAAAATAAATAGAAGGTAATGCAAGAGGTAAACTCGTACCAAACAACACATGAGCTTACAGCACCCGCACGATGTCTTTCTTGGCTGCCTTGGAAGCTACCGCCCGTCTTTTGTAAGTGATCTCCAGTTCTTGAAAACAACAAACGCATAATAACACGAATGTCAAGCAGATGAAAGAGCAACCCTAGCTCCTTATCTATTTGTGTCAGGGAAGACAATGAATATTTTACTGCCACTCTGCTAGCCTAAAAACAAATAAATAAATAAATAAATAACCCAACCGAACACAAAGGGTGTAGACTTGACACAGGGCACCGGAGTTGATGCAAGTCTGCCCGTGACGGCTGGATGCCCTCTCACAGGCGAAACAGTGACCATGTTGGTTTTGCTCATCACTGTGTGGTCACCCACCCTCACCCCATAGTGCCTGGGACATAGGAGGTGCTATTTAAGTATTTTCTAACAGTCTAACAGACTGGCTTTACTTTTTTAATGAACCCATCCTGCGCCTCGTCCCCCTGCCTCTAGGCTAACTCGCAATCCTGAACGTTTGAAGGCAGAGGTTCAGCCGGCTCCACTTGAGGGGGCCGGAGGTGCACGTATTACTTCCTACAGAATTTCGGGGAGTGCGGAAGAGACCACTAGACTGGGACCCACACAGAAACAGATTTCGAATTTCCCCTAAAACCTTTCCCAGTTTGTTCAGGAAAAGTGAACGAACAGCTTCCTCGGGTCTACGCCAGTGACCATCCCATGATGTCCACTCACCGCCATGTTGCATCATGTCCTCTAACAAAACTTCTCTCCAAAACACACGTACTTACCTGAAACTGAATCTGACATGTGCTTCCCTCATCTATGGTAGCCTTGGTTAGAAACCTGCACGCCACGCTGGACGCTCCCCACACAGGGGCAATCCTCCCAGAGGGCCTATTCTCCACGCTCAGGCCTCAGCAGGGAGGCCCAGGCCTGCACAGTGCACTTGTAGGCTTCAAAGGGAAGCTCCTACCACCACCACCCACTTCGTGCCATCACCAGGAACGGGATGGCTGCTGCGTGTACAGACGTAGCATCTAGCACTGCACGGATCCAGCTAGGTGGGAAGCCAACCCTCACCGCAGGGAGAGCAGAAAAAGGAGGGAGCGCGTGGTACGCCGGGCTAACATGCTGGGTGGGGCACCCGGCTTCCCTAGTCCACAACAGTCATCTCAGGTCTTTTGGCCCAAAAACGGTAAAGTCTTCAGCAGTCCCTGCAGGCTTTCATTTTGCAATACACAGCTGTCGTTCCACAACACCAGCCCAAGGATGAATGAACACAAGAGGAATCATGATTTGTATACCAAAGGAAAAAAAAAGTAGCTTTACAATCAGTCTTGGTAAGAAAGTCAGAACAAGCCAGAGAGAGAGGACAAAAACTTGCCTTTTGCATTCTGAGACACACGTGTTGGAAAAGGGTACTTCCCTTGTTTTTATTTTTGCGAGATGGTTTTAAAAGTCACGGAGACGTGCAGGACATACAGATACAACACAATAACCCCGGCGCAATCATATACTGTACCTTTACTTCAGCAAATCGTGTGCTGACAGCCTCTGGATCTCTCTCTCTTTTTTTCCTCAAAGTTATTTAAAAGCTGACTTTTCATTGGGCTTTGCAGCAAGTTAAACTTTTACAGAACCAGTTCCTGCTCTGTGTTCCTTAGCACATTTACTCAATTCCGTGCTTGAAAGCAACAATTCACTTGGACAACTGAAATGTGTGGGATTTCACTGTCATAACAAACCCAAAGAGAAGAACGAGGAACGAGGATGGTCTCAGGGGCACAGTGCTGCGGCCAAGCGTGATCCATGAAGCGACGACTGTCCATAAGCGGTTTAAATCTCAGTATGTATAAGGCCAATGGGACAGGATGGAATCGAGCAAAAAAAATAAAAAAGGCTGACCGCCCTCCCCCTCCTGGTTTGATACCAATGCCAATAAAGTCACAATCATATAACAGAACCAGGTAGACAGGAAAGAATGTTTCTCCATTTCACATAAAATGTCAGTGATATGCTAGAAATAAAATGCAATATAGCTGTCCGTGGCAGATCAAAGGCAGAGCTTTGGAGAAACACAGGTCTGGAGTCTTTATGGGCGAGCCCCTCTGCTCATAATCCTCAGAGGTGACCGAGAGGGAGAACCACCCGCCCCAGCTCGCATGAGGAAGGCAACGTGGACCAGGCCCAGTACAGTCTCGCTACACCCCCAGGCCTAGCATTTCCCCAGGTAACAAGTTTCGTGTCCTTACCTTTACTCTGCAGTATTCTTTTCCACCTCTGAAAGAAAGGCTATTTTAATAGCAATTTGCAATGTCAGGCTCTTTTATCCACACCGAGAAAAGTGGGTGGTCATGCGATGGCGAAAAAGGATGGAGTAGGTAAATGGAGACATTTCCTCTCTCTAGGGAAGGTAGGAGGTTGTGGCGTTCGTGGCGGAGGGCACCCAATTTGTATTCATAGCTTTATTTGAATAAAATTAATATTTAAATAGCCTACAGTCAATCGAAGCCAGAGAGTATATTGAGATGGGGGGGGGACACTGTCCCCCAGACCTTTAGAACTTTTCACTAAGAATCCACGAAACAGATAACCCACGCGGAGATAACTTAGAATCGACTTTCGTGAAATGCTGCTTCGGGCCAACCTCACCGATTAAGCACAACTACAAAGAAGTTTTTGGCAATAAAAGGAAATTCCTCTTGGTGCCCCCAGGGTGGGGGGGTCAAGGCTCTGCAGGCCGCGGGCTCTTAGGGGACCTACACGGAGAGCAAGGCCTCACCTGGGACTTCAGGAGAGAATCTGGCGGAGTGTCGAGACACAAAAAGTTTCAGTTCTTGGTCCAGGTTGCACTCAATCAGGTTGGTGTCCCATGATCGGATTCCTAGGGAGGGGCAGGAAGAGAAGGGACAGCGGTCCAGTTAGTCATTTTGGAGCAGTTTGGCCAACGTCGCCGTGACAGTTCTCAGGCTTTCGGGGAGGATGTGCAGACTTCTCGAGTGACAAGCCCGCGGAGGGGGAGGGCTAGGAGGTCCCCGCCGCAGGCCGCGACACAGGGGACAGGCAGGGGGACCAGGCCTCTGCCCTCGTAAGACGCACATGCGGCTTTTCTGGGAGCGCAAGGAAAGCGGCTACTGGGGAAATGACAGGCTTTTCTCCAGGGAGGGAGTGGGAAGGACAGGAGGCGGTCAGGTTCCAGGTGGAGAGGCCATCACGCAGGCCCGGCTGTCCCGAGCAGCACTGGCGGGGCCGCTCCCGACGGGGGCGCCGAGGCACCTGCGGGCCTTGGTCTCTACGCCTTGGGACCCGGGCGGCTCAGCAGCCAGCTGTCGGGCCCCCCGCTGCACCACCTGCACGAGAAGACTGGACCTCAGCCCTAAAGTCGCGGCCTCTCTGCCCCCACCCACCCCCCTTATCTGACCAGCCTCGCAGATGCTCCCTTTGATCGCGCAGGCCAGCGGTGCTCAGTGTTCTTACCGGGAGGCACCGAGTGTAGCAACAGCTTTAAAAAATTGTACAGAGTCAGTGGCCGTGAACTGCCTTCCGCTCACCAGGCCCGAGGCTGGGGCAGAAGGAGCTCGGATGCCCTGCCTCAGTCCCCCCGCCCCCATCCTTCCAAAGGGGGGTGGCCAGAGGGAACCCAGAGGACATCAAAGAAGCAAGAACTGGGGAGCAAGCCAGGAAGAACTGAGAAACCACAACACTCTGCAATGTGTTTGTTTTCTATGGCTTTTTATACTTTTCCAAATAGGTAGCTTCTGGGAGAGCCATCGGTAGGACCCATGACCGCACCCTTGCACGGAGCATCCTCAGTTGCCAGGAAGAACCTCTGCAACAGCAGCCGTTTACTGCCTGGCTCCTAGGAGCCGGGCCTTGAAACTCGGCAAAACAGCCGAGGAGCCATCTCCACGCACGCCCCGGGTCATCTCAGCAGTTTTGCGGCTCCATAGTCGCTCCCACAGACTCGGGAGTATAAATGGCAGCACATTATTTAAACACACCCATAAATCCTGAACGCCTGCCTGTATTTACCCATTTATATCTTGTTCGGTCTTCTTATCTTGCAAAGAAACAAGATACGGGTGTGTGTGTGCTTCTACATGTATGTGTCTACGTGTGTGTGTCGTCTATACGCACAAACGTATGACACAGAGATTCTGGAAACTCACTTGATTGCACATCTATCTAGACTCTTCAGATTATACACCAAACACCCTTGGACTGCGAGGAGTATTTTCAAACAGGTGCATGTCCACCCAGGAGAGGCAAAGAATTGATCGCACGATGCACGGGAAGATTTCAGGTGTGGAAGAGTTAATAGCCCTAAAGAGAGGCTAAATCCTAAGGGGGAATATTATGGGTCTCCCTGGAAACATCAACAGCCTCAGCTTGCATTTGTGCTAATGGAGTATTTAAATTTTAACAAGAAAGGCATGTTGCGATTTTGCAGATCTTTTTAGCGCAGAAATGATAAATGGGTTCTTTTTGTTCCGCAAAAGGCTTGACAGGTTGAGAGGTCTGAATTCATTAGAATATTTTACTTCGACGTATACGCTATATGCGAGGCCAGCGTGAAAAAACCGTCAAGCTCCTGTCTGAGCCGCTTAATTGGTAATTGTTAACTGGCTTCTCTGTGCTCCAGGTCTGAGCTCCACTTTGTCTCCGGGCTTGTCACGTTGGGTCACTAAGTTAATAATGAGACATATGTATTTAAATTAAATTCATAGGGTTCTTCTGCCTTTGTTCTTCGCTATGTCCAAATTGCTACATCATTTGAATGACTTCATCTAGGGTTATACGGAGACTTGCTCTTACACTTGTTTACCATTTTCCCCTTGGCTTCAATTAACTTGTCATGACACATCCAATTAAACGTTTGCTTTATATTTCAAAAACTCCTGGCTGTATGATTTGTGAGTTAGCAAGGGGGGGGAAGTACAAGACAGAAAAGTTCATTTGGAAATTAATTTTTAAATTATACTAGTAAACGGCCGATAGAAATAATATTTCTCAGTTTCATACTGCCAACGACACTAAAAATCTAGGGTTCTCTTTCCAAGGGGGCAATTTCCAGCCAAATTATGTCTTAACAATGCCTACCTCACTACTACCACTTATAAAATCAAGGTCACAAAGGACTCACTGGTTATTTTAGTTGGAAAGGAAAACTTGGGAACGAGGCCACTTTCTATACCAATTTTAGAAATGACAATTTTGTGATTACATTGTACCTTCTACTGGGTAATACTAGCAAAGAGAAATAGTATTTCTCAACGAAGGCTCCTACTGCATTTAGTAGGTTTATATATCTTCCCTCTGTGCCTAACAGGAAGCCAGCCATAAGCCCTCTGAAGCTTAAAGGGCAGAAATGGATCTTCTTTGTCTTGCCACATTCTCCTCTCTCGAGGGCCTGACTGGGGGCCCGTAGGGTGCTGATAAACAGATTCTGAGGAGGCTTTCAGAAGCAGATCATCCTGGTCTCTCATGGATACTAGAGAATGTCAAGATAAATTCCCAGCCCTTTTTCTGATGCTCCACCCCAATATACACCAGGTCAAACTCTGTCTTAAGCCATTGCTTCTCCAGCACACTGCTAAGACTGTGCCCCTTACTGGCTGACCTAGGTCAGGGCAGAACAGAACTCTACCAATGGGAGGTCAACCTCCGCATTTATTAAATTTCTGGGCCCAGGGGGCATCTGTCACCGCTGGGAAGGTGACCTGTGGCTGGGCACCCTGAGGACTCCCCCACATAATCTGGGGCTGGTGCCCAGCCACAGAATGGGCACCATCACTGTCTGCAGGCCAGTGCTCCAGCCAAGAATTCCATTCTCTGAATCCAGGGGAAAGCAGGGCACAAAGGGGGGGCTAAAGTGCACATGAAGTTTGCAGATGGAAACGGGAGAAATAAAATGTGTGTGTGTGGGGGGGGGTTCATTATAGGACAAGTCAGAGTGATCGGTGAGTAGCCACTTTCCCTCACTTTGTACAGGTTATATCTTGCCAAGGTTACCAATCATGCAAACATTTTGCAGGATTATTGAGTAAAACCAACATTTTTTTTAAAAGCACCTCCCATTAAAAGCTAGAATCTATATTCCTAAAAGAGATTATAAACTAGAAAAACCAACAAAGTGATCATTCATTACATGTTGCAATGGCACATGGGTTCTACTCAACAGTATTTGGGCCTTTCAAAGTTGTTTTTTTTTTTTCCTATAAACTTTCTCATTGATCCCTCGGATCCATAAGCTTTTGAATATTTTTTGCTGGTACCTAAACGGTTAACCTATGAACTGTAAGATTCCATTTGTAAAACTATGATAAAAAGTGACTGGGATGCAGATTAGAATCATAAAGAAACAGAATTAAAACAAAAAAGAGCTAAATTCAAGGTTTATTTCTCAAAGAAGTTTTCCTATTTTCTTTCCCTTGTCCAAACTTTCAATTGGCTTTTTTAATCCAAATACTTGATGTTCATAATGTATATGTGCAATGCATTGATGATAAATAATTTAGGTCTTTGGATAGCTTCCCACATTGAAAACAAAAGAAGTGATTTATAGTTATTATTGGTCAAAAAGTCAGAGCTTATTTTAAAAGTAAGCCTTTATAGAAGATTAAGAGTGAATCATCAGGGGCGCCTGGGTGGCTCAGTCGGTTAGGCGTCTGCCTTTAGCTCAGGTCACGATCCCTGGTCCTGGCATCAAGCCCAAGTCGGGCTCCCTGCTCAGCCAGGAGCCTGCTTCTCGCTCTACCCCTCACTCTGCCCATGCGCGCACTTTCTCTCTCTCTCACGCTCTCTCAAATAGATAAATAAAATCTTAAAAAAAAAAAAAAGAATGAATCATCAATTTAATGACCTTCCATTTGGGAACTGGCTTGGGTTCCGGCACAGCTCACAGAACCCTTACCAGATAATACCAATTAAGCAGCACAAGCAGAAATCCATCTACCTTTTGACTTTGCAAAGTATAAAGATGAACATAATATATTTATCATTCTCCAACATTTCTTCTAACCTCCACCATGTGTTGGCTTTTTTTCCTATTAAAATGAGAACCAAACCCCACCTCTTTCCTGTGTTCTTAATTCCCTTAGCCATCTTGAAGACAATCAATAAAGTACCATCAGAAGGTTACAATGCAATCCGCTAAGCTTACATTTCAAAATCCAGGGCACTAGATGTTACACACATCTTTTTATAAATGAATCTTGCTGCTTCCCAGTGTTAGCCAGAGAAAAGCTACACTCTTTATCAGTAACTGAAAGCACGGACCTGACAGTTAATATTCCTAATAGGTCTTAATTCCTATAAAGCAATAAAATAAAGCAATGAAAACTTTCATAAGGCTCTAGAATTCAGTTTACAAGGCATGGATTTATGTAGTCTATGTCCTATAATAAACTGGAGGAGTAGAGGCTCTGCTAAAAATGGGGATGGCTATTAGGTCTAAGGTGGGGGCTAACTGGGATGAGGGTGAAAAGAGATGCCCAGGAGCGGTATTTGTTGGGAGCGACAGTGGTATGGCATCCAGTGCTGCATAACTAACAAAGCTAGACCAGTTCATGGGAGGAAGACCATTGTTTCAACCTTGAGAAGGTATGATCAAACCTTACATTAGACATTTTGAATACAGCTGAGAAAATGAGGGCGCATTTCTCTTCCGCGGTTGCAGAAATCTTTCCTAAGCATCCACGCCGGGATGTTCCAGGCCTGTGGATTTATTGTATTACCACCATTTTCCTACAGGTTTATCTTCGAGGCTTCCCAAAGAACCCTCGGTAATCAGATGGCAAAATTCCAAATCACCAGGGTCCCCGAATCCACAGGAGGTCAGTTAAGATGGGAGGGGAAATAGGAAGCAAGCCTAACACATGAAGCACTGCATTCCCAGCCTGCAGGACTCAGTCGGAGGCCCCCCCACCGGCCCCCCAGGAGCATCTCCATCCCCGTCACACCTTGAGGCCTACAGGCACCAGCAGTAGCAGCGGTGGTGCCAGAGTGACCTCTGGAGGAGGCCCAGCTGGGACCTGCAGGCTGAGGCAGCAGCGCACCAGCCACAGGGACACAGAGGGACATGGAGCCAGGCTGCCCTGTTGCTAAGTCATCTCAGTCTGTCTGATAAGCCAGGGGAGCAATTGTGCTTCGTCCTTGAGGGGCCCTGGAGCTTCAGCTGCATCTGAGACCCCAGGACCCAGGAGAGCAATCTCCAGAGGAAAAGCAGCATCTGCTACTGTGTGTGAGGAAGTGGCTGTGCTCACTCACTTGACTGATTGTTAACGGGATCAATACAGCAATTTGGGAGTTCTGTGCAAAAACCTGACCAAATTAGCGAACCAAAAAAATCAGGAAGGCCTGGTGATTGAAACGGGAACGTGAAGGGGCTTCTGGGATTCCAGTAATGTCTGCTCCTTGAGCAACATGGCCCAGGTGTGTCCACCTTGTGGAAATTCACCAAGCTCCTCAGTCTGTGATCTGTGCTTTCTTCCTTTCTCTATATTATCTCAATCCATTAAAAAGAAAAATATTTTTTGATGTCCAAAACGCACATCTGAACTGTATTACTGCAAGCTAATGGTGTGAAAAGGAGTGAAGACAGAGAGCCCTTCACAGCAGCACTTGGATGCATCTATTCTTTTCCTCAAAGAGAAGTGTGCTGAATAAAGGCCCTGAGGGATGGGGTTCAGAAAGGATGATCCGCAGAGTAACAAAGCAGGACGATGATTAGGGTAGGAAGGTGAGGGCCAGGCCCCCTCCCTGCGCAGGGTGCTGCCCACCAGTGGATGGCCATACAAAGGCAAGCTCTGCAAACTGCCGCCTTGGACCCCGCACTGACATGATGACAGGGCCAGAGAATCAGGGTGGGTGCAGGGGGCACTCCTGTCCCTTAGGGCCGATGTGACCTTGAGCAGGCCCAGGATCCTTCCTGCCCCCCTGGGCCCCCCGTCTCTAACACGGGGGGAGGGCCCCTTTGCCGGCCCCACCTGGGCGGGTCAGGAAAATCAGAGATGTCTAAGCCCCTCTGCAGCTATTAGGACTCCCTGGCAATAACTGCTCTTAATCCAGAATCATCGATTCCTATGGCAGCCACACCCAGAGTCAGTAGGGCTGAAATTTTCCAAGGAGAAAAACGTGCAAACTAAAGACAGACCAGACTTAAGGCCTCTAGTTTGAAAACGGAGGGTTTCTGAGATGCTCAAATAAGGCATCTCCCTATTGCAATCTCTTTCTCTTGAATTTTTTTTTCAAATAAAACTACACGACTGCATTCTGTTTTTGTTTTTGTTTTTTTAAGCTGAAAGGGGAAGAAAAAAAAATCAGTGCTTTAAAGTTAAACAAAAGAACCAGGTTTGCGAGTCCAATCCCCACCCTGCAGCCTTTTGTTCTGGGGACAAGGGGCCGTTTCCAAATGCAGAGTCAGAAAGCAAGCTTTCATTTTTTTTTTTCTTTCATGGAAAATCAGGGTTCCCCTAGGTCTCCGGTGGGGGTGGGCGGGGGGCCCCGGGGCCCGGGAGCGAGGCGGGCGTGCACGCCCTTTGTCCGCCCCGGGCTGCCGTAGAGACCGCAGTGCGGGCACCACGCCCACCAGCCGGTGTCTCCGGGAGCCTGGAGCGCGGGCCGGGCGGGGGGCCTGCGGCGGGGCCCAGGGCAGGGCCGGGGCGCCTGGGGCGAGGGCTCGGGTGCAGACCTGAGCTGCCGCTGGGGGCCGGGGGCGCTTGGGGCGCAACAAAGCCGGGCCCGGGGACGGGTGGGCGCGCGCAGCTCCGAGCCCGAGGCCCGGCGGGGGCGCCGCAGTGCGGGGGGCAGGTGCGGTGAGCCGACGGGAGCACTGCGGCAGCCCGGGTGGGGCCGGGGGCGGGCCGGGCCGCGCGCTCGAGGCTGCGCCCGCCCGCCCGGCGCTCCCGGCGCTCCCGGCCCCGCCCCGGCTTCCAGGCGAACCGCTATTCGGCCTCCGCAGAGCGCGCTCCTAGTGCGCGCACCGGGCGCGGCGCTGGCCCTGCCCGCCGACAACCCCCCCCCCTCCTCTCCCCTAAGCCCTCGCCACCGAGGCTGAGACTTCCCAAAGCAGAAGCCCCACCCCGCAACTTGGGGTCCCATTGTCCTTTCTGGAGGCTGCCACCGGGGTCCCAGGGGCGGTGGCGAGGCGGGCGCAGGCGGTTCTCCATCCCTGCGTCCCGGGGAGGGGACGGGAGGGGGGGGCGGGCGTGGCCCCAGGACTAGCCTAGTCATTGCGGGTGGGGGGGAGCACATCGGGAGGTTTTACGCCAGAAAAGGCAGTTCTCGGGGGCCGAGGTGGCTGCGGGGAGGCCGATTCCCACGCGGGCCCTGGCGCATGTTGGGGGTCCCAGCCCTGGGGGAGCCGTGGCGGGGGGGCAGGCAAGAGGACTAAATAGGGCGTCTGCGCCAAGCGCCCCCGCCCCCCTGCTCCCGGGGCTCGGCTCTATTGTGGCCACCTGCAGTTCCCGGGGCGGGCGGGGCGGCGGCCGGCGGGGGGGCTGCGGACCTGTGACAGGTCCCTGCGGGAGGCGGAGGCCGTGCCCAGCGGGCCCCGCACCCGAGCATCCGCGGGATGCCCGTCGGCGAGCGCAGCCCCGCGGGTGCGGGTGCGGGTGCGGGTGCGGGCGCGGGGCGCGCCCTGGGCGGGGCGGGCCGGGGGGCGCGCGGGGCCGCTTACCGAGCTCGATGTTGCCGATGGCGCGCCGCAGGTGCTCCTCGGTCACGATCTCGCCGACGACCACCAGCAGGTAGAACTTGCTGTCGAGGAAGCGATGCGACAGGCTGGGCGACGTGGACGCCGCGGGGTTGGCGATGCCGCCGACGGGCTCGGGCTCGGCGGCCTCCAGCACCACGGTCGCCATCCTGCCGGCGCGCTGCGCTGCGCTGCGCGAGCTGCCCCGCCGCCCGGCTCGTCTGCGGCAGGAGAGGCTCGGCCGCCGAGGTGCAGCCCGCGCTCCGCCCCCCGCGCCCCTCCCGGCGCCGCGCCGCCTCCCCTCCGCCCTCCCCGGAGCGCGCGGCGGAGCGGAGCGGGCACTGCGAGCGGGCGGGGACGCGGCGCCGCTTTTATACGGAGCCCGGGCCGCGAGCCGGGAGGAGGAGGAAGAGGAGGAGGCAGGGACCACCCGGCACATCCTCACGCGGCGGCTGCCTCCGCGCCTGCAGCCGGCGGCCCGGGCTGATGTCATCTGCAGCAAATCATCTCGCCCGCGGCCCGGAAGCCGGAGGAAGAGGTGTGCGGACAATGGTCGGGGCAGCGCCCGCAGCCGGGGCCGGGCCCGTGGGGACCCCGCCGCAGCCGGGCCGGGGGCGCACGCCGCACCCCCCCGCACCACCACCCCCCCCCGCCGCGGGGCGGACCTCGCCCAGGTGCCGGGTGCAGGCCCGGGCCTCGCGCCCCGCCCGCGACCTCGAGGGCCGAGGCTCAGGTGCCGTGACCCCGGGCCCCCCCGGCTCCGGGGACGCGCACCCCGCCTTCGCTCTGACCTTGTGGGCTCAGCGAGACACGCGCCTAACCAGTACGGCCCACCCCCCCCCCATGCGCCAAAAAATGCAAACCCGGGGTCCAACGTTGTTAAGGCTTTGGGCCCCCAATCTGCAATTCCCAGTGCAAAGGAAAGAGCACTGGCTTTGTGGTGCTTATGGGAAAGGGGTGCGGGGGGGACACTAGGTGACGGGCACTGAGGGGGCACTTGATGGGATGAGCACTGGGTGTGATGCTCTATGTTGGCAAATTGAATACCAATAACAAATTTGTAAAAAAAAAAAAAAAGGAAATGAGAGGACTACAGATGCGGTTTTCCACATACAGATTTCTTCCCCTTAATGATATGCTGAACAGCTAGCATCGGGCCTAACAAAGAATAAAAAGAGAAGGCACCCTCTCTATCCCAGCAGGATTACAGGGACTACAACGTGCTTCTCAGTCCCCGAAGGAACACACCAGCAAAATGATTTCGTGTGATGGTGATATCTTTTAAAAAATATACGTAGCATCGGGGATTGTTGTTGCCTTTGTGTTTAGAACACAGAAAAAAGTGTTTAAAGGCAGCCCACCTACAACCATGTCTCACAGATCTCTTGAATATAGCTTCTGCCCCAGGAAAGGGCTGGTGGGGATGAAGAAGGAAGAAAATGGGAGGGCTCAGCGGTTGAGGATCTGCCTTGGGCTCAGGGCATGTGTGATCCCTGGTCCTGGGATCGAGTCCTGCATCGGGCTCCCCGCAGGGACCCTGCTTCTCCCTCTGCCTGTGTCTCTGCCTCTCTCTCCCTCTCTGTGTGTGTGTGTGTCCCTCATGAATAAATAAATAAAATCTTTAAAAAAAAAGGAACAAAATGTGCAAACATGGTACTATCATAAAAGATAGAATTAGTATTAGAAGCTTAAGAAAGAGGCCTGCATGGAAATTAGTCAATAGAGTTTTAACACATATTAGGGACATGCATATTAGGGACAAAACAAAATCGCCTGGATAGGTAGGCTAAGATTTCCAAGTCAGCCCATTGTCTTACCCATTTACCACCATGATTTATTGGTGATTCGCGCTTTGCTCTTAGCTCTTTCCTGAAACCCTGGCATGGGAGACATGGTAGGCAGCCAAAGGCCATGATGCCTTCCTACATGCCAGTCTGGTCAACGGGGAATAAGGTACCATCTGGCCCACAGCAGTTGAGGTCTGTGACAGGCTCACTGGTGAGCCACATTTGCCAGTGAATAGTGACAAAGAGTTCCCAAGTGAGATAGTAACAGATCATTTCTTGGTCGTAGAAGGCCCTCAATTCCTCTTAGAGAGGTAAGGGTAGCACCAGCGCCCATAAGTGGGGGAGGAGTTTTGGTCGGGAGCCTTGTTTTCCAGAGCGAAGCCATCGGAGCCCACTGTCACATACTGATTGTCCTTCATTTCTCTGAACCACCATTACTTTTATTTATGTAATAATTTTCTTTTGCTCCATTTTTTTTTATTTAAGATTTATTTTTCATGAAATTCTTTACTGCTGTGCAAGTGGAAACACTAATGTCACTTTGAAAGGGAAGGTATCCCTAAGATAAACACAATGAGAATAAGATCATACAGTTCACCTCCTGCCACACACCGCTCTTTGCTCAAAGACTCTGACCCTCGGGATCCCTGGGTGGCACAGCGGTTTAGCGCCTGCCTTTGGCCCAGGGCGCGATCCTGGAGACCCGGGATCGAATCCCACATCGGGCTCCCGGTGCATGGAGCCTGCTTCTCCCTCTGCCTGTGTCTCTGCCTCTCTCTCTCTCTCTGTGTGTGTGACTATCATGAATAAATAAACACTAAAAAGATTTTTTAAAAAAAGACTCTGACCCTCAGGAGTAGGCTCATTAGATTAAAAACAGAGATTAGCAAGTGTTGGAGAGGCGTTAAGACACACTACCACCGAACTGAGTTGTTTTCCATGTCATCGCAGAGGTTGGATGAAAATAACACGAGAGCTCTCTTACTGCGTGAGTCAGTGCAGTGAAATGCCATGACCATGAACCACCTAAGTCACCACCCAGACTTTGCAAAACACAGACATAATGACAGAAAACTGATGAGAGATGCAGACTGCTATCGTACAGCTTTGTAACTCTGGCCAAGTGACTTCTTGATCTTTAGTCTCTTCATTACTATCCTGGAGACAATAAGATCTTTATAAACGCACGAGTAACTTTGTAAGAAAGGCGTAAACCATAGAAAGTGTAGGTACCTAACACAGTGATTGGAATCCTGGGCCCTCGAGGAGTGGTTGATGGATACACCTGTTTGGTCCCAGTTTGCTGGACAATGGAGTAAAAACATCCTTACAAAAATGTGTGGGTGACATCGAGTCGGGCACAACTACCAAGACCTCTGAAACAATATTAAATGACACTGCAAACTAGAAAAGTAGTCGTCACCTATCCCCACCTCAAAAAAAAAAAAAAAATCTAGCTCTAAGGAGGTAAAAGGGGAAAACTAACATCAAAGAGTGCCTGTGTGGCTTGCTGCCACCTGACATCACCTGGATGTCCCAAAGATACCTCAGACTCAACACGCTCCAAACCAAAATCATCTTTGCCCCCCAAACCTGATCTCACTTTTCGTAATTGAGTGAGCAGTCTCACCACGTACCCTATGATGCCTCCTAGGTATCTCCTAGGTGTCTCCACTCCTCCCTGAGCCCTGGCCCTGTCCGTGTACACCTGAACATGGTCAAGTCTGACCTAAGTCAGTTTGACCAGTCTGGTCAGTTTGACCTAAGTATCTCCTCAATCCATCCACTTCTCTCTACTCTCGACACCCTACTCTGACCTACTATCACCATGACAGGCAACAGTGTACAGGTTAGAAATTGGTTTCCGAAGTCATTCATACATAATACTCTCAGAATAACAATAAAAATGTTAAAAGCGGTTTAGGATTTTTTTTTTCAGTTTTCTTTGTTATTAGATAGATCCCAAAGGGGTGCAGTTTTAAAGTCACTTCAATCAACCCATTCTTATATGATCATGCCACTAACTCGATACATAGTTGGGCTCATCTGTTTCATTTTGGTTTTTGGTTTTTATGAGTTGATATTTTTATACTTTATAACTAGGTAAAATATTTGCTCCCCAAATCAAATCTACAGAATAATTTGTATTCAGAGAACTTTAGCCTCTTTCTCCTCCCTTTCCCTCTCTAACTCTTTTGCCCAGGTTTAGCCTTCCATTTAAAAAAAAATATATATATACACACACATTTATATATATTTATATATAATTTATTTATATAACATAAATATATGTCTCATATATACATTTATATAACATATATATGTTTAATTATATATACCTTTCCCTACCTCTTTTAGATAAACAGCACATATACACACAATTTTCCCATTTTGTTTTTTTTACTCAACAATATAGCATGGAGATATCTCCATAACAGCACAGATGAATATTTCTATATTCCTCATTCCTTATAGCTGCATGGTAACCCATTGTCTTTATTTACTATAATTTATTTAACCCGTCCATTATTGATTGGCATTACGACATCATTTCCAACTTAATTTATATTATAAACAAGAGTTATATTGTTTTGGCCTGTGCAGTAGCAATGGTCACCTGACTGGCATCAGTATTTCCAATGGGATGCTCATCCAATCCATGCTTCACACTACATGGAGGGTAGATCTTTTCTGATCTGGTCCTGTTACCCACTCATACCTGAAACTCTTAACTGGCTCCATATTGTTTTTAGGATAAAGATCAAACTCCTTAGCATGGCCTACAAGCTCCCACAAGTCTCCTTGGCTATATCTAGCCACCCCCTCATCCTTACTTTCCAGCTTCAGCCACACTGATGTAACATCAGAGCATGCTTCTTCCAAACACAGGACCCTTCCCGCTTCTCTTTGGCCTGGCAAAAGCTCTTACTAGTTAACTTCACCTAGTTGATGTCTGCTTGCCCTGCAGATGGCATCTCAGCTATCACCTCCTCATGGAGGCCTTCCCTGACTGAGCCTCCTTACGAGGTCCGTTAGCTTTTTTACATGCACTCATAGACACTCAGCTCCATGCGCCACTTATTTGTAGCCCTTGCCATCAATGTAATTTCACATTTTTATATGTAATTTTAAAAATTTGTCTCTTCGCCACTGGACTCTCTGCTTCATGGAAGCCAGAGCTACGTTTATCCTCCCACACTCACACCTGACCACCAACTTGCCTGAGGATTCCCAGGGCCCAGCACAGCCCGTGTGCTCAATCAAGTGCACCAACAATGTGAATAGCTTCCAGAAGCCACGTTACTGAGCCTGGTGCTTTAACAATATGGTTTCAGTGAATTCTCACTAAGAGAAATTGATATCGTTACTTATCATTTTAATGGCCCTCAGGTCTCTTCTGCATTTCCGACTTTGGTAATCCAAAATGACCTTAGCTAGCTTAGAGCTAGATTTGGTTGTGTTTTTTG